GCTGCTGATCACCATAAGCTAAACAGTCTGTATATTGCATTACATTTGTATAATGTAAGCTTCGTTGATACTTTGCCTGTGGGATTACAAAAAAATAGTTAGATATACTGAATATTATTTGATCTATTCCACCACTTAATCCCAAATAATGTAGAGGTGTATTGTAGGTGCCTTAAATAGCCCCTTATTTTCTAGTGAGATGTATTTTTATGTTCATATAATAGTGATTTCAATGCCACCCCAAAATGATCACTGGTTCCATCCTGGCCACCCCACTGAAAATGTCCAGGCTCCGCCACTTTAGATAGTTTGTTTCGTAGATTCTTTGGGCCAAGTACAATAACTTCAGTTTTAGCCGTGTTTAATATCAAAAGGTTTAAGGTGATCCACGTTTTTAGGTCCTTCAGGCAGTTTTGAATTTTATTTAGGTGATTGGTTTCATCAGGCTTGATTAATAAATATAGTTGAGTATCATCCGCATAACAGTGGAAATGTACAGAATGATTCCTTATAATATTGCCTAACGGAAGCATATATAGTGTGAACAAAATAGGTCAAAGCACTGAGCCCTGTGATACTCCATGGCTAACTTTGTTTGCATGGAAGATTCATCGTTGACACACACAAACTGAGAGCGTTCAGACAAATAGGACCTAATCCAGCCTAAAGCAGTTCCCTTTATGCCAACTAAGTGTTTTAGTCTTTGCAATAGGATATCATGGTCGATAGTATCAAATGCAGCACTGAGATCGAGCAAGACAAGAATAGAGACAAGTCCTTTGTCTGAGGCTATTAGAAGGTCATTTGAGACTTTAACCAGAGCTGTCTCTGTGTTATGATGTGTTCTAAAGCCAGACTGAACATCTTCAATTAAATCATTGTTTCTTAAGTAATCACACAACTGTTTTGCGACCGCTTTCTCAATAATTTTTGAGAGGAACGGAAGATTAGAAATAGGTCTATAATTGGCTAAAACCTCTGGATCGAGGTGGTGCTTTTTAAGAAGAGGTTTTATTACTGCTACTTTAAATTATTGTGGAACATAGCCTGATAATAAAGACATATTCATAATATTTAATAAAGAAGTGCTAATTAATGGAAAAACTTTAACAGCTTAGTTGGAAACGGGTCTAAGATGATGGTTGATGGTTTAGAAGAGAGAATCATTGAATGTAATTGTTCAAGGTTTATGACTGAAAAGCATTCTAGTTTACTATCTAGTGTAATATTAGAACTTACGTTTCCGGGAGCTGTTGATAACACTATACTGGTCAAAGGCAAGAGGTCATTGATTTTGTTTCTAAGAGTAACAATTTTATCGTTAAAAAAGCACATAAAATCATTACTACTGAGTGCTATGGGAATAGAAGGCTCAATCGAGCTGTGGCTCTCTGTCAGCCTGGCTACAGTGCTGAAAAGAAATCTTGCATTATTCTTATTCTCATCTATTAATGAAGAGTAGTAAGCTGCTCTCGCTTTACGCAGTGCTTTCTTATATTCATTGAGAGTAATATGCCAAATTAAACGAGAATCTTCAAGTTATGGAAGTTGTTTTCGACCTTTGCTTTATTTTGCGAGGTTTCGGCATTATGCAATGGAGACTAGTCTATGTTGTTTTATTTCTCTTCTTTTTCATAGGACATAAGAAGTCCCATTATTCGCAGCGCATCTGTAGCACTATCAACATACATGATCAATTTGGGTTTGGTGGTACGGAATGTGTAATCTAACCATTTTCATAAGAATAATGAAAAAAGGAGTGCAAATACAAATACAATTTTTTGAAATGTGAACCAAAAGTTAATCAAACATGTTTTAAATAAGAAGACATACGGACAA